AGAGTGCTGGCTGGTAAGGTAAAGACATTTTTCTAGTTGATGACGGATTTATACTAATTCAGTTTCAGTGTATTACCTGAACCCATTTGTATTCCAAATTACTGATTTGTGAGAAATCTCATGATCACCTACTATACAAAGTGAAGTCTGCTGTTGAACTCATTTAAAATAATTACAGGTGGGCTAGCAGATGGCAGGGTAGCTAAGACACTGGATCTAACATGACTGACTGTGCAGTTTGAGTCCCAGACCCAGTAGCTTGAAATACCTGGGTTCATATATATGCGTGCCCAAAAATCCAAAGAGGAGAATGGAGGAGGAGGGACTTTGGTAGGCCCATCCCCCCTGGGAGGTGGTTTCTTACTTTCCCTCTCACTGTCTCTGGCAAGCACATGTGTCCTATGGCACGAAATCTTAACCAAACCAAACCAAAACAAAAGATAATTAAAACGATAGAAGCAAAGCTCATCTTCTCTTCTGTGCATGTGTTTTAAAATAGTATGGTTTAACTAGATAGCAGATATTAAATCTTACTTTCTAACATTTACTAAAATTTAAAAAAGCTATCACTTACCTTCCAAAATTTTGCTCTTGATACATTCTAAAAATGACAGTGAAGAGTCTAATGTTCATTTTAAGGACTGTATGTTAATTTCCCCAGTTCTAGAGATTACTCAGGTTGATAATCAAGGCACATTCACTCTCAAACAAAAATACGGGTAAATACCGTATGGTTAATTTTAAATTCACCAAATTTTGGGGTCTTTGTTAAAGGAGTGTCTTGGCTGGGCGTTGCCAACTAGAACTAATTTAAATCATTTACCTGAGAAGTCTTTTGTAGAGTTCAGAGATTGCAAATAGGCCTTGATTTTCCTCAGAGTAGAAGTGTTATGTTGTTTTTTATGCTAGTTCTTTTCATTTTTTTCTTCGATTTTTGATATTGGCTATTAGTGATTCTAAGATGTAATTGCAAGAACTTCTGAAATGTGATTAAACTGTGTAGGGCAAAATAGAGAACTCTCTATTTAGAAACTTTTCTGGGGACAACTTAATTTTGGATTGGGTAGCCAGAAATTTCATCGTGGAGGAAGTTGTACATGTTAGAGCACTGTCTTATTAAATGTGAATATGAACTTCTAAGTGAGCAGGTAGTCAGTCATCCATGTCTATTTTATATTTGATACGACATTATTAACAAAAAGCTTTTCCCTTTGCTTTGTTTTTGAATATAGGAGAATTCATCTGGATATAAAGACTTGACTGGGAGTTTTGTAACAATTTTGAAGCAAGTAGTTGGAGGAAAGCTCCCAATAGATTTCAATTATCACAGTGTGCCAGCACCATGGTTACAAATTCAGCTCTTGAGAATACTAGGACTTCTAGGAAAAGACGATCAAAGGTACACTATTCTAAGTAAATTTTCTTTTTTTTTTTTTCAAGAATTATTTATTTAATTTTATTCATTCATTTTGTTTTATTTTAATTTGACTAGAGTGAGACACAGAGAAAGAGAGAGAGACAGAAAGTGAGAAAGCAAAGCTACCAGGTCTGGAACTCGAACCGTGGTTGGCTATGTGGGAGTGTCCAGCGCCTTAACCACTACACCACCTGCTGGTCCCCAGTAAATTTTCTTAATGAGTGATTACATGATAGCTTTAGGCTTTAGTCATGCAGAGGTTTCTTGCTAAGCCAGATTCTACCAGTGCTTAATTAACTTAGTAGTGCTAAGTAAGCCACCACAGGAAGTACATACGTCCTTTCAGGTTGCCGGGATAATTTTGGCTGTTTACTTATCCAAATCCTTCCTGTTGCATAATGTACCTCTGGAGGGCTATCCGCTGTCTCTAGTTTCCTAATTGTTCCATCAGTAGTTTTGGGGGTCAGGAAACTCTCTGCAGAGGACCAGATAATATATACTTTAGGCCTCTGTGTGTGTGTTGGGGGTGGGGGAGGAGCTATGTTGCTTATTCCAACTATATACTTGTTTTTTTTTCTTTTGGAGTGGTTTTTGCCATAGGGCGCGTGCGCTTGCCAGAAAGAGAGAGACAGAAAGCAAGAAATCACTCCGTGAGGTGGATGGGGAGGGTGGCCATGCTGCAATCCCTTCTCCTCTATTCTCCTCTCGGGATCTTGGGCACACACGGGCATGTGCCTGGCATGAGTTTAAGCCAATGGGTCCGGGACTCGAACTGCGGTTGGCTACATCGGAGTCCAGCGACACAGCCATTATGCTAACTGCTGGTCCCTATACTTTTTTTTTTTTTTTTGAGAGGTTTTTTCTATAGGGCATGTGCGCTTACCAGACAGACAGAGAGAGACAGAGAGACAGAAAGCGAGAAATCACCCCCCAGGGGGGATGGCCACACCGCAATCCCTTCCATTCTCCTCTCGGGATCTCGGGCATGCACGCACACACGCCCGGTGTGAGTTTAAGCCACTGGGTCCAGGACTCGAACCGCGGTCGACTATGTGGGAGTCCAGCGACATAGCCATTACACTAACTACTGGTACCCCTATACTTCTTAAAAAAAATTTTTTTTTTAAATTCATTCTTTTATTTTAATTTGACTAGAGAGAGAAAGTGAGAAAGCAAGCCACTGGTCCAGGACTTGAATTATGATCAGCCATGTGGGAATGTCTAGTGCCTTAACCACCATGCCACCTGCTGGCCTCACAACTGTAAACTTCTGATGATGGAGTCTGAAAGCAGCCAGCAGCAGTACATAAATAAGCATGATTGTTTTCCAAAACCTTTTTTTCTTAAATAATTTTTATTTGATTTGATTTATTCATTTATTTATTTTTTTAATTTGACCAGAGAAAGACAGAGGGTGAGAGTGAGAGAGAGAGGAAGTGAGAAAGCAAGCCACCAGATTCAGGACTCAAACCCTGGTCGGCCATGTGGGAGTGTCCAGTGCCTTAACCACCACGCCACCTACTGGTCCCTCCAAAATCTTTTTTATGGGTGATAAATTTTTTATTTTAAGATTTTTGCAACAGGGCATGTATCCTTGCCAGAGAGAGACAGAGAAAAAGTGAGAAATCATCCCCCAGGATAGATGGCCATTTTGCAATCCCTTCTCCTCCATTCTCCTCTTGGGATTTTTGAGCACACACACCCAGTGTGATTTTGAACTGTGTTAACTAAATAGGAATCTAGCACCTTAACCACCACCATGTGACTTACTGGCACCAACAATAAATCGCATATAATCCCCACATGTCTTAAAATATAATTCTTCTGGGAACCAGCAGTTAGCGTAATGGCTATGTCGCTGGACTCCTACATAGTCGACTGCGGTTCATGTCCCTGACCTGGTGGCTTAAAACTCATGCCAGGCACGTGTGCGTGCGTGCCCAAGATCCCGAGAGGCTTTCTGTCTCTATGTCTCTGTCCGGTGAGCGCACGCGCGCACCCTATTGCGAAAACCTCTCCCCCCCAAAAAAATATAATATTCTTCTGATTTAGTTTTTTTGTTTCTGTTTTTTTTTTTTTTTTTTTTTTGTGCCAAAGGGTGTGTGTGCTCGCAGAAAAGAGACAGAGACAGAGAGAAGAAAAGTGAGAAATCATCCCCTGAGGGGATGGCCATGCCACAATCCCCTCTCTATTCTCCTCTGGAGATTTTGGGCACACATACACACACACACACACACACACACATCTGCCGTGATTTTCAAGCTGCTGGGTCTGGGACTTGGAACACAGTTGGACATGTGGGAATCCAGCCACCTTAACTACCATGCCACCTGTTGGTTCCTTGATCTTCTGATTTTCCCCCAACCATTTACAGATATAAAAACTCTCCTGGGAACCAGCAGTTAGCGTAATGGCTATGTCGCTGGACTCCCACGTAGTCGACCGCGGTTCGTGTCCCGGACCCGGTGGCTTAAAACTCATGCCGGGCGCGTGTGTGTGCGTGCCCAAGATCCCGAGAGGAGAATGGAGGAGAAGGGATTGCGGCGTGACCACCCCCCCTGGGGGGTGATTTCTCGCTTTCTGTCTCTATGTCTCTCTCTGTCTGTCTGGCGAGTGCACGCGCCCTACAGTGAAAATCTCTCCAAAAAAAAAAAAAGAAAAAAAACTCTCCTTAGCTTGCAGTTGTATTCAAATAGGTGACCAAGTTAGGTCTGCAGGTAGTAGTTTGTCAGCCCTCGCCCTTGTTGGATGTGAGTGCTTGACCTGAATTCATTTGTCAGAATTACTCTTTTAGCCAGTCACTTACATTTAACCCATAATGGACAGCTTCCCAACTGTGTGCATTTTGTAACTTTTTATTTTACCATATTTTTTCTAACTAACAAACTTTCAAAATTCCAAGAATGGTATAAGGAGCTCTCTATATTGTCTCTCTAGAGTTTTCAATAATTTGCATTTGGTCTATTATTCTCACTCTGTACATGTGCACATATGCATTTTTACTTTAAAATTCTTTTTCTGGGCTGGCCCCATAGTTCAGTGCTTATGCACTATGTATAGGGAGCTGGATCTCTATGACCGACTCTGGTGGTTCAATTCCCAGCCCTGGAGGCTTGAAAAGCACACCAGGTTCCTGTGTGTGCCCCAAATCCTGACAGGGTGAGAAGTGGAAGACAAAGGAATGTGACTTGACCATGCCCGTTTGGTGATGCTTTCTCTTTCTCTCCCTCTCTGGTGAACATGTGCATCCTCTGGAAATAAATTTAATTTTTCTAAACTGTTTAAGAGCAAATCCAAACTAGATTTTAGTCCCCTGAGAGCAAGGACATTGGTTTGAGTCTCCAATATATTTCTGTCTTAAGAAAAATATTTGCTAATCAGTGTTCTGACTTTATAGACATTGTTCCCTTTTATGCAATAGGGTACCTTCATATTCTAATTCATTTTTTTTGGAGAGGTTTTTGCTATAGGGCATGTGTGCTTGCCAGAAAGCCAGAGAGAGACAGAGAGACAGAAAGTGAGAAATCACCTCCCAGGGGGGATGGCCATGCTGCAGTCCTTTCTCCTCCATTCTCCTCTCGGGATCTTGGGCACGCACGCACATGCGCCCAGCTTGAGTTTAAGCCACCAGGTCCAGGACTTGAACCGTGATCGAATACATGGGAGTCCAGTGACATAGGCATTATGCCATCTGCTGGTCCCTCTATTCTAATTCTTTAGCCTAACTTTACAAAGGAATGGCTGTCTAGGCTGTTGCTCCTAGAAATAACTCTTCAACTTCAGAATATCAGAATCCATCTGCCAGTAAGCTCCTGATAGGGCTAATCTGATTGTATCACCCTTGGCATACTATGTTTCTTTTTTTCTGTGTTTATAAAACTTGTCCCTAAGTGAAACCTAGAGGTAATGAGTAGACACACGTGTTAGAAATGTTTGTCCTAACTACATTTGATTTTTGTAACTCCATCCTATCCTAATATGGAACTCTACTTGGAATTCACTAGAATTCTGTTTTAAAACCACTAATTTCATATTACTGCATTAGACCATATTGGTCTATGTAAAATACAATGTCATCATGTGCATATGTTGTAAGAAAGTAATTTTGGAGGCATTTAGTAAATTTATTTAACTAAATTCTTTTAATTGTTATCTTCCTTAATCCTTCATGGATGAATTTGGAGAATACACACAGAGATGAATAAGGTAGCCTTTACCTTCAAAAAGCTCAGTAGAATAGTAATTAGGTTCAATTAAATAAATGAAAAAAGAATGAAACTCTTTTACCATATTGTGGAACATTAGAACATTTTCTCCTTGTTTTATCAACTTTATTGTGGGATTTTGTGTTAATGTAAATCCTGTATTTATTTCATAGGGCCTGATTAACTCTGTGTGGCAAAGTGAAAAGGTTACTATTTTTGTAATTGGCCAGTGGGTGCATGTGCTTGTTGGGGGCTAGGGGTGTAGCGTATGGGGGTTGGTGAGAAAGTGCTGTGAGGGATGGTCATGCCACAATCCAGTCTCCTCCATTTCTCCCTCCTTTCGGGAGATTGGGCACACATGCCTAGAGTGTTTCTCGAGCTGCCAGGTCTGGGACTGTAACCACACAGTTGACTATATAGGAAGCAGCTGCCTGAACCATCATCCCACCAGCTGGCCTTGTTATTTTATAACAGGGATCTAAAATACTTAATTGAAAGAACCTAGACAAGTCTTTTATGTTTATGGTCTTTTATATATGTTGTTTGAGTATTTTCTTGTGTTCTATAGCATTGTACTTCTTAGGTCACTGACATTTAGCTCAAAAAATAAAAGCATTTAGCTCAGTTATGTGCACAAGTATTTTCACATTTCATGTGGCTAGTCATGACATTTATGCTGCATACTAGCTTTTTTTTTTGTAGACGTTTTTGCCTTAGGGTGTGTGCAGTCGCCAGAGAGAGACAGAGACAGCAAGACGGGAATTGAGAAGTCACCTCCTAGGGGGATTGCCATGCCACAATCCCTTCTCCATTCTTCTTTTGGCATCTTGGGCATGTGGGTACACAGGCCCGGTGTGAGTTTCAAGTCACTGGGTCTGGGACATGAACTGGCAGTCAGCCATGAGGGAGTCCAGTAACGTAACTGCTTGCTACACCATCTGCTGACCCCATGCTTACTTATTTATTTATTTAATAGATAATTATTTAATTCCATTTGTTATTATTATTTTTTAATTTGACCAGAGAGAGAGAGAGAGAGAGAGAGAAAGGGAAAGTGAGAAAGTAAGTCACCAGGTCCGGGACTCAAACTACGGTGGGCTTTATGGGAATCCAGTGCCTTTAACCACCACACCACCTGCTGGCCCTGCCTACTAGCTTTTAAATTTGAAAAACTAGACTATACATACAAGATTATTGAATTTTGCGGGGGCAGGGGGAGAATTGGTAATGTCTGCCGTATGGTTATCTGTGAAAGTAAGCTTATACATAAAAGAAGGGGATTTAGAATATGGTTCTAGATTCTCATTATTGGGTATTTATACTTCAGTCAAGATAGAATGAAAGTTACATGCACTTAAAATTGAATTTTTTGGCTACATACTGGGGAAAAATAAGGGAGAAATCTCCTGAAAGAGATATAATATTCATAAATACCTAATTTATACAGCTCTAGATGATTTTGATATTTTTGTTTTATAATATAGTTTTGCTGCAATACCACTGTATCCTATATTTTTTTATTAGTGCATTTATTACTCATTTTGGGTCACCAGAAAAGTCAAGGGGTATTTGTCTCTATTTTTCTATGCAAAAATGCCTCATGACTTTTCTGACGACCCAGTGCATCTTTTAGTTTGTGGCTTTTCTTCTTTTTTCAAAGTGTATTTATTTAATTTTTTTTTAATGAGAGACAATGTGCATGCAAGAGAGAGAGACATGAGCACCTTTGACAGGATATTGCCATGCTATGATCCCCTTCCCCCAGTCCTTGACATAGTCAGGATCTTTTTTTTTTTTTTTTTTTTTTTTTTTTTTTTTGTTTATATTTTTTTGCTATAGGGCGCGTGCGCTCGCCAGACAGACAGAGAGACAGAAAGCGAGAAATCACCCCCCAGGGGGGATGGCCACACCGCAATTCCTTTTCCTCCATTCTCCTCTCGGGATCTTGTGCACGCACACACATGCGCCTAGCAAGTTTTAAGCCACCAGGTCCTGGATGCAAACCGCAGTTGACTACATGGGAATCCAGCGACATAGCCATTATGCTAACTGCTGGTCCCCATAGTTGGGATCTTAGGAGCACCCTCCCAACATGTTCCAGGTAGACCGCAGATCGAAACCTTGGTTGGCTATATGGCTTCCAGCACTGCAGATTATCATTTGTGCCACCAAGGCTAGACCCATTAGTGCTTTTTGAATTGTAAGGCATAGAAAAATACCAGCTGAGAAATGGCAGTTTTCACATTGGCCTCTTGGAGAGGATTTTTTTTTTCTTATAGGCTTGCAGACAGAGTGCTAGGACTCCACAGCACTGTTTTTTTTTTTTTTTTTGAATGCATTCCTTAATCCAGTTACTGCTGTTGTAATCAATGACTATAAAGACATACGAGTATGAGTCTTTAAGTTGCACGAAATATGTTTCTTTATACTTGACATAAATATAGGTTAAAACATTCTTCCTTAAGAACTGAGTTGGTGCTCAAAGACTAGTATTTGACTTCTTTTTAAAACTGGTTGAACTACCAATAAAATACTGTTTGAAATAATCTGGATATGTGAGGTTTTACTATAATAACTTCAAACAGAGTGAACTATTTGTTGCAAAGAAATTATAAAAAGATAGTATGTTCAGGGGACCAACAGTTGACGTAATGGCTATGTGGCTGGACTCCCATGTAGTCAACCATGGTTTGCATCCCGGACCTGGTGACTTAAAACTCACTCTGGGTGCATGTGCGTGCGTGCCCAAGATCCTGAGAGGAGAATGAAGGAGAAGGGATTGTGGCGTGACCATCCCCCATGGGGAGTGATTTTTCTCTTTCTTTCTTTCTGTCTCTCTCTGTCTTTCTGGCAAGCGCATGCACTCTATAGCAAAAGCCTCTCCAAAAAAAAAAAAAAAAAAAAAGGTAGTATGTTCAACCAAACTACAACTTGGTTTATAGACTGGGCACAGTAGAGGAAAGATTTGATTTTATGTATATCTCCTCAGTGGCTAACTAGGCAATTTCAATGAATCAGGAAGTTCAACTCCTGAATAGAGCAAAAGAAATAGCTAAGAAGTACAATCTGCGTAACTGTATAGGCCGGCCCCGTAGTGCACTATTTGAGTGCTATGTGTAGGGAGCTGGATCCTACATGGCTAACCTGGGTCTGAATCCTGGCCCCAGTGGCATGTGTATGTGGTTGCCCAAAAATGTAGAAAAATGATTGCAGTGTGATCACACCCCACTGGGAAGCGCTTTCTCCTTCTCTGTCTCTCCAGCATGTGCACATACCCTCTGGCAATGATAATAATAAAAAAAGTAAATGGATTTTTGCACTTCTTTTCTGTAGATCCTTACTGGTAGGAAGAAGTTTGAAAAACTGTTTTATTGGGTTAGAATACTGTAATTCCATTGCAAATAAAATATCTTTTAAACAGGACAAGTGAATTAATGTATGATGTTCTTGATGAATCCTTACGAAGAGCTGAGTTAAATCACAATGTCACATATGGTAGGTAACATGTACATGCTACTGTGATGACTACTGTTGTTCTTTAGTATTATGCCTAGATCTGTATTAGAATATTGTACATTCCAGTAGAATTTTGTACATTACTTTTAAAATGGTTTTTGCGTTATTCTTTTAATGCAAGTGTTAGATGACTAATAGATAGCAGTAACTCAAAATTATGACATTTTCTAAATGTTGACCTAAATTTAATATTAGAGTTGTCTCCTTATTGAAAATACTTATCAAGTATCTTACCTGACTGAAGATAACTCAGTTTTGTTATATAGTTTGTGAAAGTTTATATTTGAGGGTAATTCTTAAATCAGTCAACTAGTCAAGTATTTTTAAAATTTCTGTTGTCTTGCCTCATGCAAGGTGTTTAGAATACAACTATGGGGGGAAATCACAGGGTTTATGGATTCGGTAGGTGGAAAGGGACAGGTGTTGGTGTTGTAAATGTTACGAAGAGGATTACGTGGTGCTGTGGGAGAATGTATCAATAGTATCTAGTAAGGGGGAGAACAAGGCTTTCCTGAAAAAGTGATATTTAAGGAGCTATCTGAATGAGTAGCAATAGAGGTAGCATACTGTTTTGTGATGAAACGGTGAACACATGATAGTTACATATGTTATATGTAATTTTAAAAAGCAAGGTAGTAATAGACAAGAGTAAGTTGGGAGGGTGGACAATTGAGAAAGTAACCAAAAATACTTCCAACTAGTGGGAAAAACTATTCTTTTTCGATCGATCTGAGAAAGCTCAGTGAAGAAATTGAGATTTTTGGGAGCACCTAAAAGATGCAAGTAAAACACTTTGCATTTTGCATGCTTTGGAGGGAAGGAGTAGATGAGGTAATAGGTAATGTATTACCTGTATTTTTGAATAGTTAATATATGCACATGGCTCACAATTCAAAATGACTCAAATCTCAAGTCACTTCTTACTTTGATAAAAGACCGTGAATTAGGAGATGAAGAGTGTTTGTTCTTTTAGACAATGGTAAACTGTGGATCTTTGGGAACAGTGGTTGTAGAAGTGGAGGATAGACCAGAAGGCAGAAATTGAACTCGTCTAACTGAAATAAAAAGTGCTTGACAAAGATGCAGTAGGAATAAGGAGGAAGGACTGCATGTATGAGACTTGTTTAGGAAAAATCACGCACGTGGTAGTGAATGGCGATAGTAAACTTTTGAAGGATTACGTTTTACGTGTATAAATGGTAACTAAGACAATAAGTGCTTTATTTGTTCAACAGTATTTATTGAATGCCTCTGCAATACAAACTTGATTTTAAAATAAGTACAGATTAAGGAAGAGTTGATTGATTTATGTATTCTGTGCTGTGTGGGAGATAAAGGCAGAATAAGGTAGACACAGGCCCTGCCCTTATGTGTGAATAGAGTAATGAACAGTTGATGTTACCTGGGTTCCTGCTGTGCAGGGAGAGGAAGGGGCCCCAGATGAGGATGACCCATATCAGGGCAGGTGGTTTATCTATGAGCTGTCAGAAGATCCAGAAAGGTGTCAGAATCTTTCCAGGCAGTGAGAGTATGTTAAAATGTTTTAGTTTGATATAATCAACATCTAGGATAAGTGTTTGAAAGGGTCTGAAGGAATTCTGTTTAAAAATCTGCTTTTTTTTTTACCCCTTGCAGAAAGTTTTTTTTTTTTTTTTAAATAATTGACTTCAGCTTTATTTTTTTTTTATTTTTTTGAATAGGTAATATATGCACATGGTTCACAATTCAAAAGATAACAAAGGGTATACAATGAACAGTAAGTCTCCCTTTCATCCTGTCACCCACCACCCAGTTCCTCTTCCTCAAGATAACCACTGTTATCTGTTCTTTTTTATTTGGACAATCCTGTATACCTGAGGGAGTATTTTTAAATGTTCTGAACTAGGACCCTTTCTTCTTTTATTAAGATTGCTTGAACCAACACCAGCAACGTGTCAGTCCAGTGTTTGACCTTGCTACAGAAACCGTATAGTTTCTGTCCTATTTATTTCCTTTATTTAGCTTTTCATTACTGTGCTTCCCCCATGTTTGTTTTGATATAGTTTATAGCTTACATTGATTATATCAGTGGTAGATTATTATTCTCTAGTAATCCTAATATAAACATTTTATTGCTTAAGTTTGTGAATTTTAAATTATAAGCTTCATAAGGGCAGGGACTGTGTCTGTCTTATTGACCAGCATATCCCAGAGTCTGGCACTGGGTTAGCCAATGAGTAATATGCCTTCATTGAATTAAAGGAAGAGAAAGTTATTTTCCTTTTATCAGTTATCTTAATTGGATTTTAGTCTTGATGCTTTCTAAGTCATATTTTTATGAAAGTTCTGTTATTATAACTTATCTTAGTGTCAAATCAAATAAACTAGATCAAAGACATTTATTGAGTATCTACTATGTGCCAGGTATTTTGTAAAGTGGTATAGAGGACACAAAAACTATAAGATAAATTGTTTGTCTTTAAGGATTTACAGTATACTAGAAAAGATAACTTATTTATGAAAGCATATACCAGTTTAAAGCAGAATGTGAAGGGGTGGTACAGGGAATCCATATTGTCGAAGGAATTCAGAAGTAGTAGAGATCACTATGGGCCCAAGGGCACAGAGGAGGATTTATTGATGTGGTAGAGCCATGAAAGGTAGGTAGGAATTAGACAGGCAAAAAAGGGAGGTTGAAGGGACTTCTACATGGAGGGACTGTGAGAGGAGGTGCACAAGTTGGGATGTTTAAAGTTTCGGAGAACAATGTCCCTCGATCTGAGTGAACCGAGGTGGGGAACAGTGGAAAGGCTGTATTGTGGAAGTCCTCTCATGATAGCCAAATGAATTCAGAGTTGAATATTCAGGGTGTATCTTCTACATAAGAAAATTATCTGGTTTTTATGTTTTAAGCTTTTGGAAATATAGAAGGATGATTCTATCAAGGATACTTGATGTACTTGAGGTTGTAGGAGAACTGTTTCTAAGTCTGCTGATTCTGTGCCCTCACTGTGTCTCCTTAGGGTACTGTGATGCCATAGGGTGTATAGGGCTTAATGATGTCTCAGTGATTCTTTTTTTTAGAAATATTTTTGCTATGGGGCGCGTGCATTTGCCAGAGGGACAGAGTGAGACAGAGAGAGAAAGCGAGAAATCACCCCCCACTGGGGATAGTTACATTGCAGTCCCTTCTCTGTTCTCCTCTAGGGATTTTGGGCACACATGCACACGTGCCTGGTGTGAGTTTTGAGCCACTGGGTCTGGGACTTGAAACGTGGTTGACTATGTGGGAGTCCAGTGACATAACCATTATGCCACCTGCTGGTCCTGTCACAGTGATTTTTTTTTACCATGGCAAAGCTCTAACTCCTTGACTCATGCTCTTCAAAAGAATTAGAAAGACATATTAGTGTCCAGTGATCACCAATCATATTTTTTTCCTCATTTGTTTTTAAGGTTTTTGTCATAGGGCTCTTGTGCTCGCCAGAGAGACAGACAGTGACAGTGAAAGGGAAAGTGAGAAATCACTCCCCAAGGGGGATTCTAAGCACACATGTACATGTGCCTGGCATGATTTTCAAGCTGCCAGGTGTAGGATTTAAACTGCGGTTGGCCTTGTGGGAGTCTAGTACCTTAGCCACCAAGCCATCTGCTGGCCCCCAATCACCTATCATATTTTTCAGACCTTTGACTATATCAGAAAATCAAATTGGTTGAAGAGTTTTGAGTAGTGACTCTATCTTTGAAATAAATGCTAGATCATCCTAAATGATTATATTGAAATTTAGCCAATTCTTCCTATGTGTGGGTTCTGCACCTAGTTTCAACCAGTTGGGGATCTCACGTAGTGGGGGAAAAACTTCCAAAAAATAAAACTTGAATTTGCCATGTGCGAAGTACTACACTGAATCCATGTGAATGAAATGGTGTGTAGGTTATTACATTAGATATTATAGGTAACCTAGGGGTGATTTAAAGTATACAGGAGAATATGCATAGGTTATATGTAAATATTACTCCATTTTATATAAGGGCCATGAACTTGGTATCCATGGGGGTCCTCGATCCAATTCCCCGAAGATATCAAGGGACAGCTTTAAACTACTGTACATTGAGAATAAGTGATGCTAAAGCATTCAAGTAGTGTTGGAAATATCTTTTTATAGAGAGACATGAGAATATTGTTTGTGTTCATTAGAATGTGAGCTTTTTGAGGCCAAGATTTTTTTTGTCTGTTTTGTTTACTGCTGTATTCGTAGTACTAAACCCGTAGTACTAAACCCACACCTGGCATGTAGGAAGTATTCACTAAATGCTTGTTGAATGAATGTATCATTCTTACCTATTTAACAAATATAATCCTCTGTAAATTGTACTGTGGTAACCTAATTGTAGTAATTGTATAAGCCTGAAACAATAAAGTTTCCTTTTTTTGGTAAATTTTCATAAATAAGATTTTTGACTAAAACTGACTTTCCAATCAGTTTTATTATAAGTTCTGTTTTTTATTATGCCTTACCATTATACCTGCCATTTTTCTATTTTCTTTCTCTAGCTATTCTGTTCGAATGTGTGCACACAGTCTATTCTATTTATCCTAAGTCGGAATTACTTGAGAAGGCTGCCAAGTGCATTGGAAAATTTGTTCTGTCTCCTAAAATAAATCTTAAATATTTAGGTAAGATGATTGATTCTTTTGTCAAAATTAGAGAGAGAGCTTTTAATATTTGCTGAGTAGTCATTTCAAGTCACTTTGTGTAACATAATCTTTGTTTCTAGGGCTGAAGGCTCTCACTTATGTTATCCAGCAGGATCCTACTCTGGCTCTTCAACACCAGATGACAATAATTGAATGTTTAGATCATCCTGATCCCATTATTAAAAGAGAGGTAAACTGGTATTTTGAATAGTATACATGAAGTATTAAAAATCTTAAACTTGGGACCAGCAGTTAGCATAATGGCTATGTTGCTGGACTCCCACGTAGTTGACCACGGTTCACGTCCCGGACCCCGTGGCTTAAAACTCACGCCGGGCGTGTGTGCGTGCGTGCCCAAGATCCCGAGAGGAGAATGGAGGAGAAGGGATTGTGGCGTGGCCATCCCCCCTGGGGAGGGTGATTTCTCGCTTTCTGTCTCTCTGTCTCTCTCTGTCTGTCTGGTGAGCGCACGTGCTCTATAGCAAAAAACTCCAAAAAAAAATCTTAAACTTTTTCTTGGTATTGTGGACAGAGATTAAAGTGTTGGGTAGTATGTGTATGTGTGTGTATGCACACGTGTGTGTTTCAACTTTTTAATGTGCATATTGGTTTTTTTTTTTTTTTACTAAAGTTTAAATAACTTTTCTAAAGAGTACTGTGTCAATAGCCACAGGGATATTTTTATATTATGAGTTGAAGGGGTTAGGTCCTATAATCTCTTTGGGTTCATTAAATTTTTTTGGTTTGAGGATTTTACCAATAGGAGACCTGTATTCTAGTCCCAAGTCTTCCTATTAGTACCCATTAAGATGTACTCCTGTTATTATCAAACTTAAGATGTAATAAATGATGATTAATGTTAAAATAAATGTTTTATGCCTTGAAATGAATGAATTAATTCTTTATTAAATAGATGAGATTATTGAAAGGATTCTTGGGCCTGCAGGTGGCATGGTGGTTAGGGCTCTGGACTCCTACATGGCTGATTATGGGTTGAGTCTTGGACCTGGCAACTTGTTTTCTCACTTTCCCTTTTTTTCTCTCTGGTCAAATTAAGAAATAATAATAGCAACAAATATAGTCTCAAAAAAATAGAAAGGATTTGTGAAGATAACCCTAAAATGATTTGAATTTTTTGAAAGATATAATAATATATTTAATTTTTAAAAACTTTTTTGGCCTATACATTTGCTTCAGTGTTGGGACCAGCAGTTGGCACAATGGCTATATCAGCTGGACTCCCATGTGGTCGACTGCGGTTCGAGCCCCGGACCCGGTGGCTTATCCTCACTCCGGGTGCATGTGCGTGACTGCCCAAGATCCTGAGAGGAGGATGGAGTAGAAGGGATTGTAGCATGTTCCCCCCTGGGGGGTGATTTCTCGCTTTCTGTCTCTCTGTCTCTCTCTGGCTTTGTGGTGAGCACACACACCCTATAGCAAAAATTTCTCAAAAAAAAAATTGCTTCAATGTCTACTTGGATATCTATTTAGATATTTCTATAAATTCTCATATAGAGAAATCACTCCATACCTTCATCTAAGTGGTATATGGGGCCTAGTTAAGAAAAGTTGTATTTCTGATTTTAAAAGTGATAAAGACTGGGGGGCAGCAGATAGTGTGGTGGATAAGTTGCTAGACTCCCACATGGCCAACTGTGGTTCAAGTCATGGACCTGGCAACCTGAAAATTATTTAGGGCACATGTTCGTGCATGTCCAAAATCCTAGGAAGAGAATAGAGGAGAAGGGATGTGGTGTAACCATCCCCCCAGAGGGTGCTTTCTCACTTTCACTCTCACCATCTCTCTCTGTCTTTTTCTCCAGTGAGCACACATGCCCTATGAGGGAAAAACAAAATAATAAAGATTAAAATAAAAATCTAAATACCACTAAAGCAATGAAAAATAGGATTTATAGAGAGAACACTATTACATTAGACAGTTATAATTTTTGAAAGATGAATTTTGAATTTTAAAAGGCATTTTGAAACATTTTTGAGAGGCGCTGGTGGGTGGCATAGTAGTTAAGGGCACTGACCTACCGTAGTTCAAGTCCCAGACCTGGAGGCTTGCTTGTCTCTCTCTCTCTCTTACTCTGTCCCACTCTGATCGAATTAAAGTCAAGCAAAATAATTCTTAAAAAAAAAAAAAAAACCATTTTTGAGAAATTTGCTTTCATATCTGTATTTTTAAAAATCATATTTTTTAGAGAGATTTTTGCTATAGGGCACATGGGCTTGCCAAAGAGACAGAGATGGAGACAGAAAGTGAGAAACCCCTTATGGGGGATGGCCACACTGCAGTCCCTTCTTCGCTCAGGGTTTTGGGAACACGGGCACATGCACCCAGTGTGAGTTTTAAGCCACCAGGTCTGAGACTCAAACTGCAGTCAACTGTGGGAGTCCAGGGATGTAACCATTATGCCATCTGCTGGCCCCTTAAATTCATATTTTTAATTGTCCAGAAATTATTACCTGGCTTAAATGACTTTGGGAAATTTCAGATGTACTAATTTCTGTGCATGGGCATTATAGAAAAATGAATAGACTCTAAGAGACAGTAACATCCCTTCCACTAACAAATATAGAGCTGGAACCAGCAGATGGTATAATGGTTATGTCACTGAACTCCCACGTAGTCGACCACAGATCGAGTCCTGGACCCAATGGCTTAAAACTCATGTTGGGCATGTGTGTGTGCCCAAGATCCTAAAGGAGTATGGAGGAGAAGGGTTTGTGGTGTGGCCATCCTCCCTGGGGGGTGAATTTCTCACTTTCTGTCTCTGTCTCTCTGGCAAGTACACGTGTCCTATAGCAAAAATCTCTCTTAAAAACAAAAACCAAAAAAACAAATATAGAACATGCAACATCTTTGTGTAGTTGACCACTAAGGTAAATGAAGTTGACTTTGATATAATATTCATATTGGTGTATTTAACTCTTTTTTTCATTAAAAATTTTTTTTTTTAGATTTTATTTTATGCATTCAGTCACTGTACACTAGAGCTTGTAAAGTGAACCTACCCGACAGGAATGCACTTCACACCAGTCCAGTTGAAGATACCATACATGTTATCATCAATAGATAATCATCTATTTCTGTGTCCCATAGATGTCTTACCTCTCCAAATGGAGTTTTTATTTATTTATTTTATATATATAATCACTATACATCATTACTACTTGTAAAGTGAATTTACCCAACATGAATACACTTCATAAAAGTCCAGTTGAAGATACCATACATGTTATCATCAATAGATAATCATCTATTTCTGTGTCCTATAAATGTTTTGCCTTTTAATTGTTCTCCTATGTTCTCTTCTTCTCATTCTCCCCCGTCTCCCATCCTCTTTCCACACTGTATCCAGTTTCCATAACCATTTTCCATTTTTTTTTTTTTGAGAGATTTTTTTGCTATAGGGTGCATGTGCTCCCCAGAGAGACAGAGAGAGATAGAGACCCAGAAAGTGAGTACTCACCCCTCAGGGGTCATGCCGCAGTCCCCATTCCTTTATTCTCCTCTCGGGATTTTGGGCACTTGCACACATGTAGCCTATGTGAGTTTTAAGTCTTTGGGTCCAGGACTCGAACCAGGATCAATTACATGCAACTTCAGCAATGTAACCATTACTCCATCTGCTGCTCCCATTTTCCATACTTTTATATACACTCATTTTTTAGTTTCTACCATAGAGTGCGGACAGTAGGTATACATTAAGTGGAGACATACAGTGTCTTTCTTCCATAGCCTGACTTGCTTCTAATTTTTTTTTTTTTTTGAGAGGTTTTTGCCTTAGGGAGCGTGCACTGGTAGGAGAGAGAGTGCGACAAAGATGGTGAGAGGGAAAGTGAGATATTTTCCCCCAGGAGGGTTGGGCAATCTGCAGTCCCTTTTCCTCCATTCTCCTCCCAGAATCTTGGTGATGCATGCACACGTGCCCAGTGTGATTTTGGAGCTACCTGGTCAGGGAGTTGAACTGCAGTCGGTCACGTGGGAGTTCAGTGACGTAACTGCTGTGCCATCTGCTGGTCCCATCTTGCTATATTTAATCATTGGACTCTCTCTTAAAAATGAGATTCAAGGGGCCAGCAGGTGGCATAGTGGTTAAGGCGCTGGACTCCCACATGGCCAACTGTGATTTGAGTCCCTGACCCAGTCAGTGGCTTGGAACACACCTGTTGCGTGTGCATGCATGCTTAAAATCCTAAGAGGAGAATGGAGAAGGGATTGCAATGTGTTCATCCTCCTGGGGGGTGATTTCTTGCTTTCTCTCCTTCTGTCTTTCTCTCTCTCTTGGGTGAATGCACACATCCTATAGCTCCCCCCTCCAAAAAGAAAAAAAAAAAAAAGAGAGAGTCAAAAAGAAAATTAGGTACTTTTTTTTTTTAACTTGTCAGAGGGTGTGTTTGCTTGTCAGAGAGAGACAGAGGGAGGAGAAAGTACTCCTGCAGTGGGAGGTGGGGTTCCACTGCAGTCCATCTATGTTTCTCCATCCTAGTGGAATTTGGGACACACATGCACATGTACTCAGTAAGTTTTTCGAGCTGCTGGGTCTGGAATTTGAACTATATAATCAGTCATGTGAGATCATCTCTCTTAACTGCTAGGCCAAAGATCTGGCTTAAAGTGACTGAAATCTGATTTGTTTGGTCCACTATCTAAGAAAAATAGTTTTAATGCTTTGCTTTTAAAAAAATTATTTTATTTATTATTATTTTTTAATTTGACCAGAAAGAGACAGAGAGAGAGGGGGAAAGTAGGAAAGCAAACTACCCAGGCTGGGACTTGAACTGTAGTGGGCCATGTTGGAGTCCAGTGCTTCAACCACTACACTTTGTACTGGTCCCAGTAGTTTTATTTCTTTAGAGAAAGTTCTCAGTATCAATGGTGCCCAAAGATGACACTGTAGTATGGTCTCATCAATGCCATCGTCACTTCTAACCTCTGTCAAAAATATGACAGGAACTTTGTTGTTGGCTGTGGGGTGTTTTGTTGCTTTAGTAGGATTCCCTTTTATCTGGTTTTATTACCTTTCATACAAGGGGAGAAAGATAAAAAAGGAACTAATAAAGCTGAATAGAAAAGACTGCTAGCCATGCAATTTCTGACACCATATCCCATTCAGTCCTAGAAATGCCAAATTTCAAGGTCTTAGAATGAAATTTGATGTGGATGATCTAAAAATATGTAACATAGAGTTTACAATCTACTGGGAACATATCTGAAGCAGCTGCGTAAATCAAAAAAACTATTGATGGGAGAAACCTATATGTTTATAGATTTAAAAAATAATGTATGTAGTTTTATTAATTATTATTATTTAATTTGCTATAGGGCGGTGTACTCACCAGAGTGAGAGAAAGAGAGACATAAAGAAGTGAGAAAGCAATCTGCTAGGTCCGGGACTCAAACTGCAGTTGGTCAAGTAGAAGCCCAGTGCCTTAACCACCACGCCACCTGTTACCTCCTGTACTCATAGATTTTTAAATGGTTAAGCATTACCTTAAAGCAGTTGCATTTTTATTTTAAAAGGTTTTTGCCTTAAGGTGCATGTGCTCATGGGGGTTTGGAGGGGAGACAGAGATAGTGAGAGGGAAAGTGAGAAATTGTACCCCCAGGGAACCAGCAGTTAGCGTAATGGCTATGTCGGCTATGTTGCTGGACTCCAACATAGTCGATCGCGGTACACGTCCCAGACCCGGTGGCTTAAAACTCACGCCAGACGTGTGTGCGTGTGTGCCCAAGATCCTGAGAGGAGAATGGAGGAGAAGGGATTGCGGCGTGACCATCCCCCCTGGGGGGTGATTTCTTGCTTTCTGTCTCTATGTCTCTCTCTGTCTGTCTGGCGAGCGCACGCGCCCTATAGCAAAAATCTCTCCAAAAAAAAAAAAGAAAAAGAAATTGTACCCCCAGGGGTATTGCTATGCCACAATCCCTTTTCCTCCATTCTCCTCTTGGGATCTTAGGCATGCACACACACATGTGCCCGATGTGAGTTTCAAGCTTCTAGGTCTGGGACTTGAACTGCAGCTGGCCATGTGAGAATCCAGCAATGTAACTGCTACACCATGTGGTGGTGTCTCTTAAGCTGTCCTTCCCCCCCTCCCCCCCACCAAAGAATTATTTTATTTAACTTCATTTATTTATTTATTTATTTAATTTGACAAGGAAGCCAGTGAGGGAGTGAGGAAGCAAGCCGCCAGGTCTGGGGCTTGAATTGTGGTCAGCCATGTGGGAGTCTAGTGCCCTTAAACCACCATGCCACCTGCTGCCTGCCCCTTAAGCAGTGTTTTTTTGTTTTGTTTTGTTTTGTTTTGAGGGGGATTTTTGCTATAGGGTGCGTGTGCTCACCAGAAAGACAGAGACAGTGAGAGGGAAACCGAGAAATCCACTCCCTAGTGGGGATGGCCATACCACAGTCCCTTCTCCTCCATTCTCCTCTCGGAATCTTGAGCACGCACACACAGATGCCTGGTGTGAGTTAAACCACCGGGTCCAAGACTCAAACCATGGTCGACTACATGGGAGTCCAGTAACATAGCCATTATGCCAACTGCTGGTCCCAAGCAGTTTTAAAAATAACTTTAGAATATATTATCTTCTTTGTACTGGAAGTGGAAGTTCTAAGGATTGAAAAATCAGATCCCTAAAGATATTTTAAACAAGTTTGATGAATAGGATTTATAGAAATCCTCTTGCAGCTAATATTGGTTATCCTAAAAAACCAATAAATGATGCTTTCTCAGTATTGTCCTTAGAGTCATAATGATTTCTGGAATATGATTTATTTAGAACTCTAGGCTAGGGCCTTGGAATGGTAGCCAAATGGGAACATTCTGTGGTAATGACCTTCCTTCATCTTCTTTGAAGCAGCATTCTGAAAGTAGCTATAAAGTGGTTCTTCGCTGATGATTGAGATTCTCACTGTAGGCCTTGGTAGGCTTAGAAGCACCAACCTTTGTCTATCCATTAGAGGTCATTGCCCTTAACTGCCAAACCCACACCAATGCTGTTTTCAGTTGTTTGGATTGTCTGGGAAACACAGATTGCCAAGACTGGATTTACACACACACATAGACACACACTAGTGTGTACATATACACCCATACATTTTTTAAAGTTTATTTCTGTCATAAGAGAGAGAGAGAGAGACAGAGAGAGGCAGGCAGGCAGGGACCTTGAACAGGGTCTTGTTATTCTGTGATCTCCTTCCTCCAGTGAGTCAGTATCTTAGGTACACACTCATACCCAGTGTGTTTCAGGTCAGTGTGGGATCTGAACTTGTGATCGGCTCTGTCGTTTCCAGCACTGTATCTAGTACACTATTGCTTGTGCCACTGAGACTAGGCCGAGTAATGTACAGAACTGTTACTTTTTTTTTTTTGGAGAGGTTTTTGCTATAGGGCGCATGCGCTTGCCATAGAGACAGAAAGCGAGAAAACACCCCCCCTCCCCTCCTGGGGGGGAAGGCCATGCCACAGTCCCTTCTCCTCTATTCTCCTTTCTGGATCTTGGGCACACACATACACACGCCCTGCATGAGTTTAAGCCACCCGATCCGGGACTCCAACCGTGGTCGACTACATGGGAGTTCAGCGACATAGCCATTACGCTAACTGCTGGTCCCAGAACTGTTACATTTTTAGAAAAGCATAATATAAACCTCTGACATTTTACTTTTTACATGTTTTATCATTCATAGATGCCAGATTTTAATTTTCAGTAGAAAGCTTTTAAACATTAGAGTTAATTTATTTGAATTATAATGCATATTTTGACAAGTTATATCTTTCTTAACCTTTATTTTAATTAAAATCTACATTTATTGACTGCCTAGTAGATTCACATAGAAGTAGAATAATAAACTGTATGATGAACCTATATGTTAATTATTTACTGGTCAGATCATGCATAATTTTATAATATAGTCTTTATTTCTCCTCTTTATATAGACTCTGGAACTTCTTTATAGAATTACTAATGCACAGAATATAACCGTTATTGTCCAGAAAATGCTTGAATATTTACATCAGAGCAAAGAAGAATACATTATCGTCAATTTGGTTGGCAAAATAGCTGAGCTGGCTGAAAAATATCCTTTTTGAACGATGATTCATAAAATACCTTTAGTTATACAGTGATTTTAAAGTGGTGGATATAGATGTGGTCACTTGCAAGTGGAGTTTAGAAGATTCAGTGGTAGCTTCTATTACTGATTTTCAAGTGTTGTCAAAAACAGGAATTTGTGTTAGGCGATAGCCTCCTACGGGGTGGCTTTTTCTCTGGTTTCTTTCACTCAGAGAGTATTTTGAGCAGGAAAATACAGGAACCTGTACTTGGTTCTTATTTTAGTCCTTCCTTGTTTTTGGCTTTACTTCTTACTCATTTTCTTTTCTGAGTAAAAGTCCTTGTTTTTTGGAAGAGTGGGTTGGTTAGGATGCTATAACTTGCCCCTTGCATTATTATTTATTCTAGAAATGATCATAAAAAGGTATTTGGGAACTCCATTCACATGTTACTTTTCCTCACTTTTGTTTTTTAAAAGTCAGAGGGACGTTACAGGTCATAAGGATAGTCCATTTAAGAAGAAAATGTCCATTTAATTCTAAGAAGAAATGAGTGAATAATAATCAAATTATCTCAGAAATCTGCTCAAGTGTAATTTTGTTCTGGAGAGTTCTATAGCCCTGGACAGAAGATTGATACAATTTTAGAACTGATGAGGAAAACAGATTAGAAAGAGGTTAAAGAACTTGTTCCAAGTAGATAGACATTTAATCTCTCTAAAGTGTATATAATTTTCCATTAGTTCTTAGTCCCTATTTAGCTGTTTTTTTTTTTTTTTTTAATATGTTTGTTATTTTACATCTATTTATTGGGTGCCTTTATGTGTAAGCCTGGTGCTAGATAAAGTGACATAAACTCAGTTTGTTAAATTTATTAAATAAGCTTGTACTGAGCACCTATTTTACATAAAACAAGGTATAGAACAATTTATGGTTAAAGAAATTAAAGATAAAATGCCAGTGTCGGATGGATTGGGGTTATTTTTAAAAAAGTTGCTGTGGAAGGATAATTTTAATAAGTGGCATTTGGAAGTGTACTTGTTCTTAACACTGTGGACACATATGCTCCTGATAATGCGTGGTTTATTCAGACAATGAATGCTGTGTTTTCAGTGGGAGGTGATGTAATACATCCTGATATTCCCAATAACTTTCTGAGACTACTCGCGGAAGGTTGGTAAAACACTGCATCCTGTAAGAATTTTTAAATTAAATGTTTTTATTACAAAATCCTTAGGGAATTGAGAGGAAATTAAACCGGCATATCAATTTCTTTATAGGTTTTGATGATGAAACAGAAGACCAACAACTAAGACTCTATGCGGTTCAGTCTTATCTTACTTTACTAGATGTAGAAAATGTATTCTATCCACAGAGGTTTCTTCAAGTAATGAGTTGGGTGAGCAAAGTACATTAAATCATAAATTCATATGACTTTAAAAATAAAAAAACAACTGAATGTTAACATATTTCTTTCTGAATTCATTTAGTTCTACCCAGCTGATTTCTTTGGCTGTTGGTTTTCTTTCCCAGTGGCCACAGGACATATAAATAGTAAAAAGTGTCCATTCTCCTTCTGCTACTTCACTTGTTCATATTGTTTAAATGTGGGTGTTGGTTTAGATGTTGTGTAGAATCGATGTTGGTTCTGCTTTAAAAAAATTAAGATTTCCCAGTGAAACTATCTGGACCTGGAAATTTCTTTTTTTTTTTTTTTAAATTACCAATTCAATTTTATTAAAAATTTCTTAACTGAATTTTTATCCAGTTCAGTGTATTTTTAAAATTTCCTTCAGACTACATTTTTCTCTTGGGTTGCTTAGAACGTTGTTTAGTTTCCAAGTATTTGGGAAATTCTCTGTTAATTTCTGTTGCTGATCTCCATTGTGATCAGAGAAAATATTCTGTCTGATTTTAGGTCTTTTAAATTTCTTTTCTTCTTTCTTTTTTAAGAGAGATTTTTGTTATAGGGTGTGTGTGCTTGTCAGACAGAGAGAGACAGAGAGACAGAAAGCAAGAAATAAACCCCCAAGGGGGATGGCAATGCTGCAATCCCTTCTCCTCCATCCTCTTGGGATTTTGGGCACATACGCACACATGCCTAGCTTGAGGGTTTTTTTTAATTTTTTTTATTGAGAAGTTTTTGTTATAGGGCGCGTGCGCTCGCCAGACAGAGAGAGACAGAGAGACAGAAAGCGAGAAATCACCCCCCGGGGGGGTGGCAATCCCTTCTCCTCTATTCTCCTCTCGGGATCTTGGGCATGCACGCACGCACATGCGCCCGGCGTGAGTTTTAAGCCACTGGGTCCGGGACACGTACCGCGGTGGACTACGTGGGAGTCCAGCGACATAACCATTACGCTAACTGCTGGTTCCCCCTAGCTTGAGTTTTAAGCTGTCAGGTTCGGGACTTGAACTGTGGTTGACTACATGGGAATCCAGTGATGTAACCTAACCATTACATCATCTGCTAGTCCAATTTTTTTTTTTGAGAGTTTTTTTTTTTGCTATAGGGCGTGTGTGCTTGCCCCACCCGGGGGGATGGCCACGCTGCAGTCCCTTCTCCTCCATTCTCCTCTCGGGCTCTCGGGCACGCACACACATGCACCCAGTGTGAGCTTAAGCCACCAGGTCCAGGACTTGAACCACGGTCGACTACATGGGAGTCCAGTGACATAGCCATTACGCTAACTGCTGGTCCCTTAAGTTGCCTACTCTTCAGAGCCATCTTTCATTTCTTTGAACCACTCTATAGATTATCTTGAGGACTGAACTCGTTTAGTCCTATTTCTTTTTCTCTTGTTACTAGCTATCAAAATTCCCTTGCCTGTCATCCTACCTGCCTCTTTTCTTGCTGTCCTAATATTATACCAAAACCATAAAAATATTCTATGAATACTATTCAGGAAAATATCACTGTCCCCACATTATCAGTTAATGATCCTTAGACCAGTACCCCCTGACTAAGTTAGATATGAGGAAAAGGACATAGAACATAGATCAGTGTTCCTTGGAATCGATTCTGTGGACCATCTCCTATCAGAACCAACTTCTGCTTGTTCAAAATTTATGTCCTGGGGATGGGGCCAGCAGGTGGCATGGTGGTTAAGGGTACTGGACTCCCACTTGGCTGACCACGTTTTGAGTCCTGGATCTGGTGGCTTGCTTTCTCATTTTCCCTCTCTCTCTCTCTGGTCAAATTGAAATGAATAAATAAAGTTAAATAATTCTTTTAAAAAAATGTATGTCCTTAGGGACAACAGACATATTAAGTCAGAATGTCTGGGGATAGAGGCTAGAAATTTGTATTTTTATGAAACACCACGGGTAACTCCTACCCATGCTAGCATATGACAGTTACTTACTTGAATGTGTATTAGAAATAATAACAGAATGTGAAAAGTGCTTATAAAAACAACTAACTCTGAAAGTCCAGAAGAAAGCTATTGTAAAGGTATGTTTGTTTTGTATATATTGTGCACGACAAAGATGTAGAAAATCTTTTTGTACTGAATTTTAATTTTTGGTATAATTTTGAACCTAAAGTCATACAATTGCATTTTTATCTAATAATTTCTTCACCATGAGGTAATATTTAATCTAGATTAAATTCACTCTACCAGTAGGCACTTTGTTTAGATGTATGAGTATAGTTTACTGTATAACTTGGTATGTTTATTAACATCTCTTTGTTTTACTCATAGGTGTTAGGGGAGTATTCCTACCTCTCAGACAGGGAAACACCAGAGGAAGTTATAACTAAGCTCTACAAGTTACTTATGAATGACTCAGTTTCTTCAGAAACAAAAGCCTGGTTAATTGCTGCTGTGACCAAGTTGACAGCCCAAGCACACACTTCTAATATAGTAGAGAGATTAATCCAGGAATTTACCATATCTTTGGATACTTGTATCAGGCAACATGCATTTGAATTAAAACATTTGTGTGAGAATGTGGAACTTATGAGGAACTTGCTTCCGGTGGATAAGAGTTGTGAAGACATGGTGGTAAGACATCTGTGTTCCTTTTTTTTTTTTTTTTTTTTTTTAGGAATTGCATTGTTCTGAAAGTAATTCTTGCAGTTGTGATATATCAGGAATATATCAAAATACAGTTCCCATTGGTGAAGGTTGGAGCTTATCTTACATTAGCATGAGGGAGAATTTGTGAGCTTCATTCAGTACCAACTCTTAGTAGTCAGGGACAACAGAATGTCCCTTCTAAAGAACTACCGAGAAGGCTGGAAAAACTGGGTATCCACTTGCAGAAAGATGAAACTGAACCCCCATCTTTCACCATTAACAACAGTCAACTCAAAGTGGATCAAAGATCTGAACCTAAGACCTCAGACAATAAAACTACTTGTGGAAAATGCTGGGGAAACTCTGGGAGACATTGGAGTAGGCAAAGACTTCTTAAATAAGACTCCCAAAGCACAGGCAATAATCCCTAAAATAGACAAGTGGGACTATATTAGACTAAGAAGTTTTTGCACAGCAAAGGACACAGTAACAAGTGTGAACCGACAACCCTCAGAATGGGAAAATATTTTTGTTAAATATGCCTCAGACAAGGGACTGATAACCAGAATACATAGGGAACTCAAGTGCCTTATGCGAAAAACAATGATTAACCCGATTAAAAGATGGGAAAGTGAGCTGAACAAAAGTCTCTCTAAGGAAGACATACGAACAGCCAAAAAGCATATGAGGAAATGCTCAACATCCCTCATCATAAGGGAGATGCAGATAAAAACCACAATGAGATACCACCTAACCCCTGTCAGAATGGCAAAGATTAAGAATATAAAAAGTGATAAGTGTTGGCGGGGATGTGGTGAAAAGGGAACCCTCCTACACTGTTGGTGGGAATGTAAACTAGTTCAACCACTGTGGAGAACAATATGGAGGTTCCTCAAAGATCTACAAATAGAACTACCATTTGATCCAGCAATCCCACTTCTGGGTATTTACCCAAAAGACAGGAGAACGCTCAGTCAGAAAAGTGCTTGCACATCCATGTTTATTGCAGCATTATTCACAATTGCCAAGACATGGAACCAACCTAAATGTCCACAAACTGATGAATGGATTGGAAAAGTGTGGTATATATACTCTATGGAATACTACTCAGCCATAAAAAATAACAAGACCCTGGAATTTGATAGAAAATGGTCAGATATGGAGGATCTATTGCTGAGTGAAGTAAGCCAGGCTATGAAAGAAAGATATTGTATGTATCCACTCAATATATACCGACTATCCGCATTCTATGATAGAGAGCAAAAAATCGGAGGACATAAAAGCAGTGAAGGTACTTAATGAGAATAGGACAGTGTGGAATGGGGGAAATGAAGAGAAGAGGATAGAAAAAGATAGCAAGTGAACAATAGAGCGACAGGACATTAGTGAGAAACATATATGGCTTATTAACTGTTGATGATGACATGTATAGTATTCTCAACTGGATTGGTCTGAGAAGTATCTCATGATGGGCAAAGTATTTTTACAAGCAAAATGAGAAATAGCAATTGACTGTTTTAAAAAATAATTAGAATAATAAAAATAATGATTGGGGAAAACATAGAAAAGATATTGAATGTTGAAGTGGGGAGATTAATGTCTCTGTACTGACGGACATGCATGGCATTCCCTTTTGAAAAAACAATGTAATACACTGTAAAGTTATATGTAATCCAATGTAATATAAAGAAGATTATGATGATGATAATAAAAAAATAAGATAAAAATATTTATAGAGGGGTCGGCAGGTTGCATGGTGGTTGAGGTGCTAGACTCCCACATGGCTGACCCTGGTTCAAGTCTTGGACCTGACAGTTTGCTCTCTGACTTCCTCTCTCTCGCCTTTGCTTGTCAAATTAAATAATAAAAGTAATAAATAAAATAAATGTATATTTTAAAAAGTTAAAAAAAAAGAACTACCGAGAAGATATTTATATCCTGTGACAATAATCTCTGTAATATAATTTATAAATTTCTTTTATTTTTATTTCCTTTGAAATTCTATAACTCATTTAATTGCTATTAATTTTCTTTGAGAATGTAAAAAAAAAGTTCTCCGTTTCGTTTTGTCCCATCTACTATCTAAATTCTTTTTTTCTTTTTTTTTTTATATTAAAAAGCAAAATATTTAAAAACAAAAACGAAAACACAGCAACCTAAGGTTGGAATAGCAGTAAGTCAGACTGCTGCTGGTGTTCATGATGGTCTTGGGTTCATGCTCCTTCATCTTCAGGCAGGATGTAGGCATATAGCTCTGCACTTAGGTATATTATATGTGACCAGGAAGAACCAGATAAATGGAAAACACAAGAAAACAGAAAGCAGCAAAAAATTTTCATTAGGCAATCCCAAAATGCTCTGCTTTTTTCTTCTTTGCCTCCGTACCCTGTGTAGTTTCAGTTCTAGCTAAACTTGTGACAGACCTAAATTGTTCCTTCCTCTTACTCAACTCCTCATCATCTTCAGACTTTCAGGAGGTTGAAGAGGAATTCAAACCAAGTCTTTGAGCTTTCCTTTAGCTGATCCAAGTTAAGCACAGGCTTGGTGTCAGATGACAGACCTCCTGTTGGACAGAAGAAATCCCAAATTTCGCTGCAGAGCAGCTTCTTACTCTCCAGGCTCATTGAGCATAAGAAACAATTCAAGCACATTGAATTGTTTGGCCCTCTTCTGCATTCTTTTGGTCTGTGGTATTTCAGATGTAATTTTTACCACTTTCTTCTCTGCCACATCAACAGTTTTTTTCAGGGAGCTCTTCCTCTTTGGCAGGCAGTTCTGTGGGCTTTGGTTCTTTTTCCTGTTTCATCTCCTAGTATGTCTCCAACCACCCCCTCTTCAGCATACTCTTCAAGGTATGCCCAAAGCCTGTTAATGAGATCTTGCTTTATTCCCTTGGTGTCCAAACTTAGGCTCGACACGACATTCTTCCTTTAGTTCAGCAAGCTTCAGTTTATGGAGCTCCACTGTCTTCTGCCACCATCTTATTACCCCTCTACTTCACTAGGCCTACTATCTAAATTCTTCACCACTTTGGAACCTGAATTCCTGCCTTCCCTTTTCCTACCTACTTTCAGTCATCACTCCTTTAAACATTTTATTTACGTATTTAGGTTTTTGCCATAGGGTGCATGTGCTTGCTAGAGAGAGGGAAAGTGAGAAATCATCCCCCAGGGAGAGGGCCACACCACAATCCCCTGTCCTCCATTTTCCTGTTAACCACCGTGCTACCGGCTGGCCCTGGCCCTGACTCCTTTTTATCTAAAGCTCTTAGTGACTCTTCATCTTTCTTTCTTTACTTTTGAATTTGCCAGAGCTTGTGTACGCTCGCCAGAGAGAGTTAGAGGCAAAAAGTAACCCCCCACCGCCCGCCCCAGGCATGGTCACACCACAATCCCCTTTTCTTTGTTTCTCCTTCCTGTCAGAGTTTTGGACATGTATGCACACATACCTGGTGCATGTTCAAGATCCACCAGTCTGGATCTTGCACTGCGAAGCTGGCCATGTGGGATCCCCTTTTCTTAACCACTCAGCCACAGGGCTGGTCTATTACTCAACTCTTAACTCATACCAGCCTGTCCCTCAAGTTGGTATAAATGAGAAAATTTCCAAAAGGCTGCAGATTTGTTCACGTTTTTATGTGTCAGATGTCTTACAGTTGAGAAAGAGAAGAGAGCAAGCAATATTTCCACTAATTTTGACTGAGGTTTTCATGGCTTGTTTTCATTTTGTTTGTTTGTTCATAGCTGTTTGTTCATAGCTCAAGTGTAGAAGTCTTCTTTAGCATTTGGAAAAGCATCAAGTAATTTTCCATAGATTTGAGAAAAAGCAGAGATGTCTACTGAAATATGAATGAATATGTGCACATAGTATTATTACCCTATGGAGTAACCACACTTCCGTTTTTCCCTCCATAAAAGATAATGCTGAGTACATAGCCTCATCTCTTAAGAATCTTAGTGAAGCTAAACCTTTCCAAATTCAGAGTATGAGGTGCCACTTACATACGTTTGAGAATTACCTACTGATCTATATAAATGATCTGAGCTGTTTGTATATACTTGTCTAAATCAGGAGAAGCACATTTGTGGTTGGTTTCTGGGGTCATTGCTGCCCTATCCCCTTGTGTGTATATACTTTTTCTCTATTCTTTTTCTTTTCTCCCTTTCCCCTTGCTCCTTCTTCATGTCATCATTTTTTCATCTTTTCATTTAATCATTCATTTTCTTGTACCTTTCTATTCATTCTTGCCAAAACAAGTAGTTATCCAAAGATATGTGAAAATGCACTTTCAGATACAAAGGAATAAGAAAGTAAAACCACAGGTATTAGGGGAGGCTGAATAATTGGCCTCTAAAGGTATCCACGTCTTTTTTATTTTAAGAATTATTTTATTTAACTAACTAACTTTGTTTCTTTCTCTCTCTCTCTCTCTCTCTTTTTTTCTTTCATTTTGACCAGAGAGGGACAGAGAGAGAGAGGGAGAGAGCGAGAGTGAGCCAGCAGGTCTAGGACTTGAACTGCAGTTGGCCATGTGGGAGTCCAGCGCCCTTAACCACCATGCCACCTGTCAGCCCCAAGGTATCTACATCTCCCTGGAATTTGCGCATGCATTGCCTTAATTTTTTTTTTATTTTTAAATGGTAGTGCATGTGTATTGTATATACTCACGAGAGAGAAAGAGGAACCCCCTCCACAGGGTCTTGTCATATTGTGATCCCCTTTCTCCAGCCTTCCAGCTCTCAGAATCCTGGGTACCAGCATGCATGCTCAGTGTGTTCTCAGGCCAACCTGGGAATCTAAACCCATGGCCAGCCATATGCTTTCCAGCTTTGCAGGATACTTGTGCTACTGCTGTACCAAAGCAGCTGGGAAATTACCTTAAATGTTAAAGGAATTTTATAATGTGGTATAAATATTTTGCGATGGGGGGATTATTCTAGATTGTCTAGGTAGATTGTTATAATCACAAAGATGATTAAAATTCCTTCTAAAAATTATTTATTTGTTTGTTTGTTTATTTTTTGCCATAGAGAACGTGCGCTTGCCAGAGAGATAGAGAGGGAGGTGAGAAGAGGGGTCCCCCCCCCCCCCGCCCCATTGGGGAATAGTCATGTTGCAGCCCCTTCTTCCCCATTCTCTTGGGATTTTAGGCATGCACACACATGCACTTGGTATGATTTTCGGGCCTCCAGATCTAAGACTCAAACCACTATCGACTGTGTGGGAGTCTAGCGCCTTGAACACCATGCCACCTACTGCGCCCTAAAATTCTTTTCTAAATTATTTTATTTAAAAAATTTTTAAAGTTAAAAAGTATTTTTATTACCCTAAAGTCCATTTTTTTTTCTTTAGAGGTTTTTGCCTTAGGGCACATGCTTGGGGTTGGGGAGAGACAGAGACAGTGAGAAGGAAAGTGAGAAATCACCCCCTGGGGGGGATGGCCATGCTGTAGTCCTTTCCCTTCCATTTTCCTCCTGGGATCTTGAGCATACACATGTATGTGCCCGATGAGTTTTAAGCCACTGGGTCCGGGACTCAGATTACAGTCAGCCTTGTGGGAGCCCAGCAATGTAACTGCTATGCCATCTGCTGACCCCTACCCAAAGTCGTTTTAATGGGCTAGAGGTTGGAAAGAAGTAAAAGTAACAACAGAAGGAGAGATTGGAATGAGGTAGCCATAAGCCAAGGATTACTGGAAGTCCCTAGAAGCTCAGAGACAAGAAACACATGGTCCCCTGGAGTATCCGGAAGGAACTACCACTCCTAGCACCTTGATTTTAGCTCCTAGAAGCAGGAAATCAGTAGTCACTACACCCCGGGTTTTGGAGTTTCTCTCCTGTAGAGTTACAAGTTTCCTGAGGGTAGGAACTGTGTCTTCCTTTGCCTCAATCATAGCACCTAATAGGATGTCTTAACATATTATATCCTGGGGCCGGCAGGTGAAGTGGTGGCTAACGGCGCTGGACTCCCACATGGCCAACCACAGTTCAAGTCCTGGACCTGGAGGCTTGCTTCCTTTCTCTCTCTGATCAAACTGGAAAAGAATAATAACAATAAATAAAGTTAAATAAAATATTTAAAAAATATATATTAGATCCTCAGAAATGTATTCTGTAATGCAGTGAAATTAATGATAATTGAAAATAATCTAATATTATTAGATCCTTAACTGGGTGATCTGTTTATAGGTGTCTCAGAAAGCTAGAGATAGAGAGTTGAGTAACATTTTTTAGAATTGAGGACTTTCTTTTCCACTTAAAATTTTTTTTGAGAGTTTTTTTTTTTTTTTTTTTTTGTTCTATAGGGGGTGTGCACTCTACTGAAGAGCGAGACAGAAAGCGAGAAATCATCCCCAGTGGGGATGGCCACACTGCAATTTCTTCTCCTCTATTCTCCTCTTGGGATCTTGGGCATGCACACATACGTGCCCGTAGTGAGTTTAAGCTGCCAGGTCCAGGACTCGAACTACAGTTGACTACATGGGAGTCCAGTGACAATTTTAAGGATAGAGACCAGCAGATAGCATAATGGTTGTGTCACTGGACTCCCACATGGTTGACTGACTACAAGTCTCAGACCCAGTGGCTTAAAACTCACACCAGGCATGTGTGCGTGGGTGCTTGCCCAAGATCCTGAGAGGAGAATGGAGGAGAAGAGATTATATCGTGGCAATCCCCCTAGAAGGGTAAACTCTTGCTTTCTGTCTCTCTCTCTTTGACGAACACACACACCCTACAGCAAAAATCTCTCTCGAAAAAAAAATTTTAAGGATATATAGGCTAAGATTACTTATGTGAATATACAGTCTACTACTTAATACATTTGTTTGATTCCTAATTTTTGCTTAATTTTAATACAGGTAGATGCTTCCTTATCTTTTCTGGATGGTTTTGTGGCTGAAGGACTGAGTCAGGGGGCAGCGCCTTACAAACCTCACCACCAACGCCAGGAGGAAAGACTTTCTCAGGAAAAAGGTAACTTAAAAAAATTATTATTTTACTTAACTTTATTTATTTATTCCTTTATTTCAATTTGACCAGAGAGAGACAGAGTAAGAGAAAGAGAGAGCAAGCCACCAGGTCTGGGACTCAAACCGTAGTCAGCCATGTGGGAGTCCAGCACCTTTAACCATGCCACCTGCTGGCCCAGATAGAGGTAATATTTCTGTGGTTTATAATCTAGATTATAGGGACATGAATTTTTAAATGTAATTGTTACTGTAGTCAAGTAGGTAAATTACCAAGAACATTTACATTTTATTATTCCTCTTTAGATCTGCTTGTGATTTGTTTACTCTAACTAGGTTTTTAGGTACTCAGAAAAAAATTATAGCCTTGAGATAGATATCCCCAAAGTCTTCATGTATACAGGTGCCCAAGGTATGACAGGCACGCTGGGATTTTTTTTTTTTTGAGACGTTTTTGCTATAGGGCGCATTTGCTCGCCAGGAAGACAGAGAGAGAGAGAGAGAGATAGACAGAAAGCGAGAAATCACCCCCCAGGGGGAATAGCCACACCACAATCCCCCCCCATTCTCCTCTCGGGATCTTGGGCACACACGTACACGCGCCCGGCGTGAATTTAAGCCATTGGGTTCGGGACTCGAACTGCGGCCAACTATATGGGAGTCCAGCAACATAGCCATTACGCTAACTGCTGGTCCCGGGCACACTGGGATTTTGAAAAAATGTGAAGGCTGAATTGTCATGTTGGTCGCTGTGCTGGAAGGCTGACATGTATTAGTGTGCAAGTATCTGTGAGAAAGTTTCAGGAAACAAACTCGGTTACTCTGGACTAGTGAGTTTCATTTTCATTCCAGGCAGTCTAGTATTTCCTGTGTGGTAGAATATTTTCTTTAATGAAATATCTGATCTGTGAAGTTAGGAAAAGCTAAGAAAAGAAAGAATAACTTTATACTTAGAAATGCAAATCGTCAGGGAAAGACTTCTGTCATGATTTTGGTAAAGGAGAAATCTTATTGTATTATTTGGATGGTGGATGGGAAGTATATATATGAATATTATCTCTTTAGGAATTAAGAATGTCAGTAATAAAAAGTTAAATGCTGGAAGGTTTTATTGTTTTCATTATTTGCTTTTGTTGGGTGTTTATTATTTTTCAGGCTCTGTGCTAGGTGTTCTGCGTACAACGAAACAGGTGATCCTAAAGTGGTACCAAAAAGTTAAAGACGCTAATAAGGCTTATTTAATTATTTATTTATTTATTTTCTTTGGAGAGGTTTTTGCTCTAGGGCATGTGCGGTCGCCAGAAAGACAGAGAGAGACATAGAGACAGGAAGTGAGAAATCACCCCCCAGGGGGGATGGCCACGCCGCAATCCCTTCTCCTCCCTTCTCCTCTCGGGATCTTAGACATGCACGCACACGCACCTGGTGTGAGTTTAAGCCACTGAGTCCGGGACTTGAACTGTGGTCAACTACATGGGAGTCCAGCGACAGCTATTACACCAACTGCTGGTCCCGATTTAATTTTAATATCTTTATTTTATTGTGGTAAGAACATCTAACATGAAATCTACCCTGTTAACAGATTTTAAGTGTATTATATATTGACCGTAGGTATAAAGTTGTACAGCACATCTCTAGTGCTCAATTCATCTTGTTTTTCTGAAATGTTCTGCCTATTGGTAACTAACTTCCCATTTTCCCCCCCTTTTATTTCCTAACAGCCACTGTCCCTCTCTGCGTCTGTGAATTTGATCATTTAAGATATTTCATATAAGTAGAATCATAGAGGTTTTGTCTTTCTGTGACTGGCTTATTTCATGCAGCACAGAATCCTGAAAGTCATCACTGTTGTTACATATTGCATTATTTCCTTTTTTTAAAAGGCTTGTAGTTCTCCTGTGTGAGTGTGTGTGTGTGTATACACCATATTTTTTTTTAGTTGTATTTTTTAAAGAGTTATTTAACTTTATTATTTTTCTCTAATTATTTTCATTTAACTTCATTTATTTGCCTATTTATTTTTTAATTTGACCAGAGAGAGACAGAGACAGAGACAGAGAGAGAGCGAGAGAGAAGGAAAACGAGAAAGCAAGCTGCAAGGTTGGGAACTTGAACTGTAGTTGGCATGTGGGAGTCCAGTGCCCTAATCACTACAGCACCTGGTGGCCCCATACCATATTTTCTTTATCTATTCATCTGTTGGAGGACATTTAGGTTATTTTCACATCTTGACTATTGTGTATAGTGCTGTAATGAACATAAGAGTGCTATAATTCTTCATGGTCCTGATTTTAATTCTTTGGGGTAAATACCCAGTAGTAGGATTACTAGATCATATGGTGATTCTATTTTTAATTTTTCTGGTGGCTACACCATTTTCCATTTCTACCAACAGTGTGTAAGTGTTCTAGTTTCTCTATATCCTTGGCAATACCTATTGTCTTTTTTTTTTTTTTTTTTTTTTTTTAGGGTTTTTTTTCTTTAGGGGCCGTGTGCCGATTTTTTGCTATAGGGCACGTGTGCTCACCAGAGAGACAGAAAGTGAGAAATCACCTGCTAGGGGGTATGGCCACACTGTAATCCCTTCTCCTCCATTATCCTCTTGGGATCTTGGGCACACATGCACACATGCCCAGCGTGAGTCTCAAGCCACCCAGTCCGGTAATCAAACTGCATTCAACTATGGGAATCTAGCAATGTAACCGTTATGCCGTCTGCTGGTCCCACCTGTTGTCTTTTTAAAGTTTATTTATTTATTTACACACACAGATAACCCTGACTCGACCCCTCCACTCCCAGCCTTCTCGGCAAGATTATGGGTGCACCCATGGATACACCTGGCTTGTTCAAGTTCACCCAGGACCTGAACCTGGGCCTTCCCTTATGCCTCCCGTATAGCACAGTGGTACCCTACCACCTGTGTCACTGTGGTTGGGTCTGTCTTTTGGGTTTTTTTGATAAAATAGTCATCTTGTTAGATAGGAAGTAATACCTTGTGGTTTTGATTTGCTTTTTCTGATGATTCATGACACGGAATATTTTTTCATTTACTTGACTTGTTGGCCATTTGTATGTCTTCTTTGGAGATATATTTATGCAAGTTCTTAGCTTATTTTTAAGTCAAGTTATTAGCTTTTTTGTTTTTTAAACTTTTGAGTCATAGGGATTCCTTATATATTTTGGATATTAACCCCTCATCAGCTATGTAGTTTGTAAATATTTTTGTATTTTATAGGTTACTTTTTTACTCTTTTGAGTTTTTTTTTTTTTTCTTGCTGGGCAGAAGCTTTTTTGGTTTGGTGTAGTCACACTTGTTTTTGTTTTGATTATTATAGTTCCTTTTTTGTAAAGAGAGGTTTGCTATAGTGCGCATGTGCTTGCCGGAGAGACAGTGAGACAGAAAGCTAGAAATCACCCTCTGGGTGGGGTTGGCCACACTGCAATTCCATCTCATCCATTCTCCTCTTGGAATTTTAGCCATGCACTTACGTGTTTGATGTGTCTCAAGCTCTCAGATCTGGGACTTGAACTGCAGTTGACCATGTGGGTATCCAGCGATGTAACCATTACACCATCTGCTGGTCCTGCTCTGTGATATATTTTGAAGTCAGGAAATGGGATGCCTCCAACACAGTTCTTTCTCAAGATTGATTTGGCTATTTGTGGTCATTTATGGTTTTTCACTGGTGAGCTCTACCAGACATTTAAATAAGAATTAATACCAATCCTTCTCAAACTCTTTCAAAAATGTGAAGAGAGAATACTTCCAAACTTATTTCATTAGACTAGAATTACCCTGATACAAAAGTCAGACAGACACCACAGAGGAAGAGAAAACTTCAGTATCCAGGGTGAATATTGATGAAGAAATCTACTAACTACTAGAAAACTGAATCTAACAGCACATTAAAAGGATCATATATCATGACCAAGATGGATTTATTCCTGGGATGCTAGAGTGGTTCAACATATAAAAATCAATTAATGTGATACATCACATTGATATCACACTAATGTGAAACAGCTCGTTAATAAAGGTTAAAGGTCACGATTTTCTCGATGTAGAAAGACAACACAGTTCTTTCTCAAGATTGATTTGGCTATTTGTGGTCATTTATGGTTTTTCACTGGTGAGCTCTACCAGACATTTAAATAAGAATTAATACCAATCCTTCTCAAACTCTTTCAAAAATGTGAAGAGAGAATACTTCCAAACTTATTTCATTAGACTAGAATTACCCTGATACAAAAGTCAGACAGACACCACAGAGGAAGAGAAAACTTCAGTATCCAGGGTGAATATTGATGAAGAAATCTACTAACTACTAGAAAACTGAATCTAACAGCACATTAAAAGGATCATATATCATGACCAAGATGGATTTATTCCTGGGATGCTAGAGTGGTTCAACATATAAAAATCAATTAATGTGATACATCACATTGATATCACACTAATGTGAAACAGCTCGTTAATAAAGGTTAAAGGTCACGATTTTCTCGATGTACAAAGAGTGTTAGATAAAATTCAGCACCATTTCATGATAGAAACTCTGAACAAACTAGGAATGGAAAGAAATACATTAATATAAAAAAGGTCCTATATGAGAAACCTATAACCCATACCATCATAGAGGAAAAACTGAAATCTTTTGCTCTAAGATCGGGAACAAAGTTAAGATGTTTACTCTTTCCATTTCTAGTCAACACAGTACCAGGTTGGAGCAGTTGGGTCAGAAAAAAAGAAACACATGTAAATTAGAAAGGAAAAAGTGAAATTCCTCTTTACAGACATGAACACACACACATACACATCTCTAAAAACTTCATTAAAAAAAAAAATCCTAGAACAAATAAGCAAATTCAGTAAGTTTGTAGGATACAGTATTAGCATAAAAAAAAAGTTGCGTTCCTATATGTTAACAACCAACTATTTGAAGAGGACACTAGGAAAACATATCAATTTACAATACCATCAAAAAAATGAAAATACTTGGGACCAGCAGT